TATGGGCTCCACTATTCTGCTAAGCACAATCTTGCCCTCTCTTGGCTCTCTCTTTTTCTGCATCTCTTGACCCTCTCTTTGTTAATCTCTCTCATCTCCTCTCTCCTCTAATGGCTAAATCCAGTCTACTTGCCATGTTCAGTCTGCTACTTTCTCTGTTATGGACTCTTCCAGAAGCCTCTATTGGTTCTCTTCCTCACATCTACAATAAAACCTTCCCCTCAAACATACCTTGGAGCCAACATGACTTCAGTTTATACCGCAGTGATGGTTGGTTCCTGACAATGGCTTATTTTTAGGGTTCTGTGATAGTATCTGATACTTAGTTAACAACTCACTAAATGTTAATGATTACTGCCAATCCTGCCAAGTCTCTGCTGCCTCTTGGAGCTAAGGCTGACAAAATTATTGGGTTGATGTGAATTTCTTCAAGAGCTTCCCACTGTTAGGAGCAGCATTTGGCCCATGTCTGATGCTTTAACCCCCAAGGAACTGACAGAGTTGGAGAAACTGAGTCTTGAAGTGATTGGTTGTTAGTTAGGGCACACACTTAACAGGGAAAATGTAGTCAGGTAGATCTGTTAAATTGTATTTATCTGAGTAAAAATCCAACCATGGATAGTTGCTATTACTCTCAACCTAATCCCACTTTCTTCCTCTGGCAGAACAGAGTTCCAAGGATAACTGGAAAAACTCAAAAGTTGGTGCCATGTTCCTGACCCCAGTCCAGCACAAACCTACGAGCCAAGGCAGCCAGTATTTGGCCATTCGTCCATCCATCTGCATATCCCAGGGATGCACGAACAGAGAACAGTTCAGCCTCTCGGCCGCCTTCAACAGAGCAGTAAGACACAGGTTATTTGGGGACATCACTTTTTTTTTTAATATCTGATTCTATATTGATCTGAGTAAATAAGCTCAAATACTTTTGAAGTTCCTTCTTGATCTGGATAAAAGATTCCTTGACCAATTATTACTACTTGGAAAAATAAAAAAGAACTCTCAGAATTAACCATAGGTTGATGAATTTATCGTATTGCTTGGTAAAAGAAATTACAGAAAACGTCCACCACTCAATGGTGTGTGTGTGTGTATGTGTGTGTGTGTGTGTGTGTGTGTGTGTGTGTGTGTGAGACAGGGTCTCTCACTAGCTTAAAGCTCACTAATTTGTCTTGGTTGAGTGACCAATGAGCACCAGGCATCCAGCTGTCTCTATTTCCCTAGTTCTGGATTTATAAGCTTATATTAACATGCCCAGCTTTTTCACATGGATTCTGGAGACTGAATTCAAGGTCTTTTACTTCCAACATAAGCACTTTATTGACTGAAAATCTCTCCAACCCCCACTCAAACATTTTGATGAAGAGCAATGCTTAAGGTCTAATTCCACACTTCAAATGCAGGGAATATTTTTTCCCCATTCTGTTGCCTGCACAGTTCATCCTTTCAGGATGACTGGGTATCCTTGGAATCAGGGCAGGAGGGCTCCCTCCTCTTCCCTTAGAAAGCTGGAGCTATAGAAAGTGAGGAAACGAGAGCCAAGCATGGCTGTGTACACCTCTCAGTGCAAGTTCAAAGCCTGCCTGAGCTTCACAGGGAATTCCAGGTCAACGAGGCGTACACAGAAAGATCCCCATATCAAATAAATAAATAAATAGATAAATAAATAAATAAAATAAAGCAATTCAGGAAAATGATGAGTCAGGGGTTAGGATCCACAGTTAGAATGAAGCATGGTAGAGAACACAAAAACTCATTCTCTCAAGATTGCAACTAACATCCCAGAGGGCTTAATATCAGTGCTACTATAGGAATTTACAACTGTTAGTCTGAAGCCATGGCTCAGGTAGTAAGGTGCTGGCTGCGCAAGCATGAGGACCAGAGTTCAGATCCCCAGAACCCAGGTCAAAGCTAGGCGTAGCAGCATGTATTTGTAACTCCAGTGTTGGGGACTAGAGACTGGAGCATCCTGGTACCCATTGGCCAACCAGTTCAGTGGAGTCAGCAAGCTCCAAGTTCAGTGAGATGCTCTGTCTTCAAAAATAAGGTGAAAGGGCTGGTGAGACAGCCCAGCCACTGGGGCTTCTCTTCCAGAGGACCAGCATTTGGTTTCCAGCACCCATGTGACGACTCACAGTGGGCTGTAACTCCAGTCCCAGGAGATCTGAAGCCCTTGTCTGGCCTTTGAGGATACTGCACACATGTGGTACACAGACATATATGCAGGCAAAATGCCCATATACATAAAATAAAATTTAGAAATACAGCGAAGAGCAACTGAGGAAGACATTGGATGATAACATCTGGCCTTTACATACACACACACACACACACATGCACGCACACGCACACACACACATGCACATGCACATGCATGCACGCACACACACACAAGAATTTTACAACTACTAACCCATTTAAACACTTATGAGACATGCACTCTGTGTGCTATACATGTTCAGAGACATGTACTCATGCCCGCCTCATTTTATGGAAAAGGGAGAACTCATGTAACTTAGTCAGGTCATGGTGTCCAATGAGTGGTAGAATCAGGCAGTCAGGTGCTAATATTCTGCCTGCCTCATACCAGCAATGAAATCATTTTGTACCCGAGTGTGTGTTGCTAGGTTTATTCACGTAGAAGAGAGGTCTCTGGGAAGGGGGGAGGAGAACTGGGATGCTGTAGAGTGCAGAGACCACCTTGAAATGATAGCACAGGACAGCACTAACTTGGCTGTCAGTTCTTCCCATTTGTTTGAGCATGTTACTGACGCAAGCTAGAGAGAAGCTAAGCAGGCCAGCCTCGCTAACCAAACAAATAGATTGTCAGACCAGGGACACTGCGGGTCAACTGGAGTCAGGACAGACTCCTAAATCCCACAGAAACTGGCATGCTCCCAAACAAGCTCATTGGGGCAATGGATGGGTTGAGCTCGCCACTCAAATGGAAATGTCTATGTGCACCCCGGTGGCTGCTATTGCTTTCTAAGCCCCCAGGAATTTATAAATCCAGTTTTGATGAGTGCTGAAAATGACTTGTAGCTGAAGACTCTCTCACACTGTGCGGAGGCAACTTGGATGCATGAGTGAATAAATCCTTGTTCAAAGCTCATTGAAATTTCCAGAAAACGTTCTCTGCATCAGCTGGGCCTCTGCCACTAATTCGTTCAGAGAGTTCAGGATTGAAAAGAATATTAAATCTTTAGAGGCAGTTTCGTAGGCAATTCCCCACGTGGTGGACAGTCGCCCCCCGCAAACATGGAAATTTTTTTGCACATAATTAGAGCTCCATAAATATTAAATGAATAAATGACAGAGAGTAGAGTGCCTGGTGAGTCTGCAAACACCGACTCAGATCAGGATTAAGGATTTTTACATTACGATGGAAGTACCCCATACCTTTATGGTTATGAAAGGAAATGAGACTTGTAAAAAAATGCAATTGAATGATGAATCATGGACCTTAAATCCTGGTACCCAGGGTGGCTGGTTCAGTTACAGGATGAGGGTGAGAAAGAGTGGTGGACAGGATGGTGGGATGTGAAACTGGGTACTTCAGAACTAGATAGGAACATTTTGAAAACATTTTTTAATGTTGTAATATTTGAAATATAGAGATTATAAACAATACAATGAACACTCATGTACTCACTATTTGAGTTTATGAAATGCTAACATTTTCATGGCACTCATATATATGTATGTATATGTGTGTGTAAAACCTCCATCTACCTATATATGCATCTATCATCTGTCTATTATCTATGTATAACTTATCTATGTATCACCCACTCCTTATCCCTCCTTTATGCCCTTCTTTTTCACCTATCTATATTTATTCATTTATTTATTTTAAAGATTTATTTATTTATTATGTATACAACATTCCTTCTATGCATGCTTGTATGCCAGAAGAGGGCACCAGATCTTATTATAGATGGCCATGAGCCACCATGTGGTTGCTAGGAATTGAACTCAGGTCCTCTGGAAGAGCAGTCAGTGCTCTTAACCTCTGAGCCATCTCTCCAGTCCCCCACTATCTATATTTATTTTGGGGTTTTGAGACAGAATCTTGCTCTGTATCACAGGCTTGCCTGAAGCTCACTATATAGTCCAGGCTAGCCTCAAATTCATGATCTTCTTGATCTTCCTGCCTGAGACTCCCGAATGATAGGATTATAGGCTGTACCTCCATGCTCAGTTTCATTATGGGTTTTTTTTTTTTTCAATGTACTACCAAAATACACTTTTGGTTTCTTAAGGTTCTTTGTTTGGTTTTTGTTTTTGGTTCTTGCTTTCTCAAGACAGAGTTTGTCTGTGTAGTCCTGCCTGTCCCGGAACTTGCTTTGAAGATCAGGCTGGCCTCGAACTCTGCCTGCCTTTGTCTGAGTGCTGCTATTAAAGACATGCACCACCTTGCCCAGCTTCTTCCTAAGATTCTTAATTGAGGATTGATTAATTACATACAAACATGCCAATGTACTCTTTTTGGTAGGATTTCTGGCAGTTTTAAAAAAGCCATTCATCAGAATAATCCTCACTGGGCTGGGGGATGGTACAATGGGTAAAATGTTGTCATGCAGAAAAGCCAGGTGGCTCCCTGCAGTTCTAGCACTAGGGAGGTGAAGACAAGGGATGCTTGGGGTAAGCTGGGTAGACTAGCTGAAACGGGCAAACAGCAAGAGATCTGCTTCAGTAAGGTGGAGAGCTTTCTAGGAAGATGGGCGATGGTATGCACCACATGTATGTCCACACACATGCAAACATGAATATAAACATGCATGCCATATACATGCATGTGTGTGTGAGCTAGCACACACAATACACACAGATAATGTTTAGTTTGTAAAATTTCAAATAGGATATGAGATTCCTTGTGTAACAGAATTACAATTTTGTTAAAATATAGATATGCAAAGTTTTAAATGAGATAACTAACAGTGATCATTGTCTGGGTGAAATGATTGGTGTGTTTGTCTTCCTCTTTATACTTTTTTGTATTTCCACAGACTCTTCAAAATTACTTTAAAAGATTAATTTTAATATTATACTATTAATAATTCAAAAATTGTTTTTAAAACATTCTTTTCCATAGCAAAAAAAAGTGTGTGTGTGTGTGTGTGTGTGTGTTTGACCATGTAAAGCACTAGCAATGAAGGTGACATTTGGGCTTCCATGTACAATGGAAAGGAGTGTGATGCGGGAAGAGACTTCATTTGCACTACCTCAGGCATGGGAAGTGTCCCATTTTCTCCTTCTGTAGAATGACTCACTCTTTTGGTAGGTTTCTACATCTAAAGTCACTGACCTCTTGTGTCCTGTCCCTTTCCCCTGGCAGGAGGGTCCTCCACCAGCATGGTGTCCGCCGGCCCAAGGCTGTGCCGCTGCGTGTTGGCTGAGCAAAAGCGGCGGTACTCACCGTGTAGACAGGGAAGAGTTCCGGGTCGTTCAAGTCCCACGTGTTGATGTGGGAGCCAATCTGGACTCCAGGAAATCCTAGCTCCCTCACGCAACGCTCCATCTCCTCAACGGCCAGCTCCGGGGCTTGCATAGGCAACGTCCCCAAACCCACAAACCTTCGAGGGTATCTGGCAACGGTGGCAGCTAGGTCATTGTTTAAAAACTGGCACAGCTCCAAAGTATCCTTAGGTTTGGCCTGGTGAAAACAGGAAAGGTTCCATGCCAGTCAAAACTGACTTTATTAGACGTTCGTTCTGAACAACATTGGCTCTTATCTGAAAATGTCCACCCGTCTTAATGATTTTATGCTTTAGGAAGAAGAGGCACGGACTGAGAAAGGTCCTGGCCTCAGGAGACCCAATCTCCGTGGAAGCAAAGAGAACTTTCAGGATGCTGCTGGTTAATCAGAAGAATGGAGGCTAGAAGCTGCGGCCGGGCCTGATGGGCAGCTATGGAGCTCTCCAGCTTAGACGGGGACGGATGATGGGCCACTACCGGCAGCAGAGGCCTCGAAGGTCTTCCCGGCATCTGAAGCTGCCATCAGAGCATCTGCCTTGGCTCCTTGAAGGATGCCAGGCCTGCTTCCATATGGGTCCTGTCCTCATCTGTCCTCCCCACCCTTCCTGTGGGCTCTGATACTGAGACAATAGACTTGATTTCCCCTCCCCCAGCTCGCTCCCTTTCACTAGGCTCAGTGGTTCCCCCATTTCCAGCTTCTACAGTACTAGGGTTACAGGCTCACGTGAGGTCAAGCCTCGCTTTTTAGAGGGGGTTCTGGGATCAGAACTCAGGTCCCCATGCTTGAGCAGCCACCGATCTTACACACTGAGCCGTTTCTCCTGCTCCCACCCACTTCTTTACGTGGGTTCTGGGATTGGTGCCGGCAAAACAAACACTTAATCTCTCCAAACCCACACTGAGGTTTCAAGACATCGTATTTTACACTGTGATCTGATCAGAAGCGTGGGGACCCGAGTCACGCCTGCTGGATTTGTGGAGACAGGTGGGAAAGAATGGAGAGCCGGTGGTGTTTGCATGGCTCCTAAATCACACGTCAACCACAACAACTACCAGGTTAGTGAGTTCTTAGCTCTGTACCAAAAGTTCCCTCCGTGGTCTCAAAAGCAATTCTGAAACTCTCAGTGCTTGAGAACTGTTGACTTGTGGAAAGGGGTCTAGGACTCCCCTTTTGTACAGTTATTCAGGAGGCATAACATAGTTGGTCGTTATTATCCTATCTCAAAATTCTTACCTCAGAGTACACCGGCTTATCAGCAATCCAGCAAGGCACTGCAGGGGTTAATTTAGACAGGCACGCTCTGGTGGGGACTCAGTCTACCACTGAACTGTGTGGTGAATCTAGATTGGGTCTGAGAGCCACATACTGGCTACTGTCCTGAAGCAAGAACAAGGCTGAGAAGGCAGTCTGGGGAGAACATGCTACTGACCTATAAAGGAACCTCTGGAGCAGGAATGCGTCTTAGAGTGCCTGCCTAGCATGTAAGAAGCCCTGGGTTCCAGTCCCTGCACTGTATAAACTGGGCATGGTGAAACCTACCTGGATTTTAGCACTCAGGAGGCAGGGACAGGGGGATCAGAAGTTCAAAGTTATCCTCAGCTACAAAGCAAGGCTGAAGCCAACCTAGGCTGTAGCAGAGTTTATCTCAAAAACAAATAACAAATAAATAAACAGGTGATGGGTTTGATGGGACCAATTTCAAGGTTTAAGTTGTCTGTCATCTTCTGAGCTGGACATGGGCCTTCATCCCCAGGAGGATGGTTTGAGGTTTCACACTCACCCAGTAGCTAAACATGACAGGAACCGTGGAGAGAGCCTGCACCGTCACTCCTAGAACACAGAGACAAACCTGTGAGAAGAGCTTTTCCCAGGGCAAGGAGCTGGCAGCTCCCACCCTACCTGCCGGCTCTCCCTCACTGCTCCTCCCTCAGGCATGCTGTCTCTCCCCCACCCTCAGCCTACAGAGAGGCGAAGGTTGGACATTTGATGATTAAGAAAAATGACCTGACCCTACTTGTGCAGAATTTCTTCTACCCTCCTTGTGACAGAACTTTCTTTAGGTAAGGCATTTCTCCACCATTTAAAGAAAAACAGCGTATGTTAATCATTCATGTAATGGATTTCATTATGACACTTTTAGACATGTATGTAACATATTTTGGTCATAGTCACCCTGTTATCCCTCTCCGTGGTCCCTTTCCATTCCTGTTCATCCCTTTCCTTTCATCTTCCCAGCTAGGTTTTCTTCTACTTTTTTTGTCATTGTTTTCCACCTTTTCTTTTTCTGGTCTCCATCTTTGTTTTTTGTTTTTTTCCTAGAGCTTTCCACTGTAAGTCATGCATGACAAGTGCCTTTAATTTAGCTCCTAAATTAGCCTGGATAAAGTTTTGTGCAGACCCCAGAGCTTGGTTCCAGAGTCTATGATCCAGAAATCTGAAAATCTGTGATCCGAAGAGAACCCACCCCCCGGGGGTCATTGTAGGAACTAGACGAGTTAATTTGTGTCAGGTGCTTAGAGTGATGTGCGGGGGCAAAGACAATGCTCATTGAAAGTGAGTTGTGACTGTTGTCTCAAGGACAGCAACGGAGATAAACATACAAAACCAAAGGAGATGCATGCACTTCTGTCGCAATCATAAATGGCAATTTCTGACTCCTGGGAACCAAGTTGAGTGTCACTGTTTTGAGAAGGTGGGTCCTCGCTCTCTCTTCACATTTCAGGGGAAGGTTGTTCTTTGCCAGAGGTGCAGGAAACACATCTTCTCTAAGCCACACCCCTACACAACCCCTGTGTATGCTGAGACTCAGGTGCCCTGCAGAGCCGCCTACAGAGTCGCTGCCAGCTTTCTGCACAGCTGGATTTCAGTGTTACTTGGATATGCATTTCAACAGTGACTATCAGACAGCCCCTGGACAGAAGAGCATGCCAGATTCCAAACTTCCAGGCAGCCCTATTCGTTTGGCGCTGCCAGAGTGACTCCTTTTTTTGTGGACTGTGAAATAAAATACAATTCTGCTTGGGCCTGGGGGTGCAAGCCTGCTGTTCTAGTGTTTCCAGAAGAGGGCACAGGAGAAACGAGACTTCAAGGCCACCTTGAACAAGAGTTCAAGGCCAGCCTGGGCTATACATGAGACCCTGTCTCAAAAATCTGAAGATAGTAATGAGCCTGCACCAGACTGGTGCTATCAACAGTCGGTTACAGATTGACTCATTGCAGCAGGGCTCACTGGGTTGTGCCCAACTTGCTGAACTACTGGATATACTGATGGATTCTGGGAGATGGATAGTTACTAGCTTCAGTTGAGTAGCTAGTAGTGAGCCCACCAGACTCCAGGTTAGCCTGTGGTCACACCGAAGATTCTGGTTAAAATTCAGTGGAGCACGCTGGCCTGCTTAGCTCCTCTCTAGCTTGCGTCAGTAACATGCTCAAACAAAAGGGAAGAACTGACAGCCAAGTTAGTGCTGTCCTGTGCTATCATTTCAAGGTAGTCTCTGCACTCTACAGTACTTGGGAGGCAGAAGCAGGAGAATCTCTGTGAGTTCGAGGCCAGCTTGGTCTACAGGGTGAGTGTGAGGACAGGCTCCAAAGCTACACGGAGAAACCCTATCTCAAAAAACCCAAAAATAAATAAATAAATAAATAAATAAATAAATAAATAAATAAATAAATAAAATCAGTGGATCACAAACAAAGCAAAAGGGCATAAAAGAGACTTGTAGGGAGGAAGGGAGTTGACAGAAGAAGACAAAGAAAGCATGTGTGAGCATGCATGTGTGTGTGTGCATGTGTGCGTGTGTATGCGTGTGTGCGTGAATGAACCATTTGTCCCACAGCATGTGTGTGGAGATCACAGGATAATCTTCTGTGTCAGTTCTCATCTTTCCCTTTGCTCGTGGTCCCTGGCTGTCCACGAGGTTCTGGAGATTCTGTCTCAGTTACCATCTTACCCAGGAGCACAGGGGTTGTAGTGTACCAGGCTAGCTGCCTGTGAGCTGCTGGGGTTCTCCTGTCTCTGCCTCCCATCTCACTACAGGAATGCTGAGATCCTAGCCACCTCCACGGCTACATCTGACTTTATGTGGCTTCTGTAGATCTGAACTCAGACCCACACAGTTGCGTGGCAAGCGCTTTCCCCACTGAACCACTTTCTGGACCTATTTTAAGTAATAAAATGCACCATTATCATTTCGATAGTGTACCCTCTTGTTTTTAAACTAATAAGATGTTCAAATCCATGCTCTAGAAGCATGGGCTTGCAACGACCCCTTTTCCTCTAATGAAGCTTCAGCAGCCTGGCTGGCGGGGAAACAGGAAACAGAAGTTGCCATCCCATAAATCATATCACGTGATCATCAACTTTAAGGGAGGTGCTCCTTTACAACAGGTGGAAACATTGAGAGCATTTCACATGGTACGTGCCTTTCTGGTCCATTTCTCTGATACGAACTTCCGGGTCCCAGCAGTTCTTTTGGACCACTCTGAAGACCTTCCCGTCTTTCATCATCGTTGCTTCTCCCTGAGCCAGAAAAACCGCATCAGCAAAGGCAACTGGCTTGGATAAATTCTGTGTTCTTGAGTGTGACCGACTATTCAGGTGGCAGACGTCCATATGACTATGTGTAGAGGTCAGATTCAGGCATCCCTTCTCTACGGCTTGTAACATGAGGGGCCGGCTTGTTGGGGTTTCTGTCCCGCCCGGCACCCCAACAAGTTGGCAAGTTCCAAAGAAAAATCACATACAGGACTCCATAAGGTTATAAACTGATTGGCCCATTAGGTCAGGCTACTTATTAGCTCTTATAACTTTTGTTACCCCATTATCCTTATCTATGTCAGCCACACGGTACCTTTCTCAGCTGGGCAGCTTACATCTTGCCTCTTCGGTGGTCTGCGCAGGAATGGCTGAGGAAGCTTTCTCCTCCCTAGCCTTATCCTATTCTCATTGCTCCGCCTCTACTTCCTGTCTGGTTGACCCGCCTATACTTCCTGCCTGGCCAATCAGCGTTTTATTAAAATACATGATTGACAGAATACAGATAATTCTCCCACATCAACGGCTGTCCACCTTGGCTCCCTCCTCCCTCCCTCCCTCCCTCCCTCCCTCCCTCCCTCCCTCCCTCTTTTCTTCCTTTCTTCCTTACTTCTTCTTTTCTCTTTTTTTGAAACTCAGTGGCCTGGAACTCACAAAGTAGGCTAGACTGGCCAATCAGAGAGCCCCAGGGACTCACCTGTCTCTATCTTCATAGTTCTGGGATTACAAACACACATTACCATGTCTTTTTTTTTTTTTTTTTTAAACATGGGTACTGGGGAATCGAACTAATGCTTGCAGAGCAAGGCCTTTATTGGTGGAGCCATCTTCCCAACTTGGATTAATCTTTTTGTGACTGGTTTGGAACATGTTTCATCTCCCTATAGTTTGAGGGATTTTTTCCCTTCATCAGCACAGTGATAAAAATTTAATTACTTAATGGGGTTCAGCTTTTCTCTCTCCTGCCTTTCATGTTTGGTATCGAAGGGTTGTGCTGTGTAGGTGTCGGCAGCTGAACACAGAGACAGGCCCTTTCTACCTATGTGACAGAGGATGGCTGATCCATCATTTGGTGATCTGAACTATTGGCTGTGAGACCCAGGAGGGTGATCTGTGTCTAGAAGATGTCATACCTGTGACACAATAGGCCTGGAAAAGATCTTTGAGTTAGACCATAGCATGTCTCTCTAGGGAAGCAATATGCAGTAAGCAGTGAAGGTAAGGGGGTTTTTGTAACAGTGCAGAGCCAGTTGATTCAACATCTTCATCATCTGATTTCTCCTAACCAATCCATGAATTTTTTTCAGTTCTAATATAGGAAGAACCTGTAGCCACTTTCTGGGGGCTGCTCAGTAAATGTTAAAATTGGTTCCAGGGCAAATTTAACAAAATTAAAAAAGATTAAGAAGAGATTTTGTAGAGGTGTTTTAGTTCTAGTTTTTATTTCGTAGGTGTTGCTGCTTGAAGTCACTTCTATTTTTCCTACTATTTCTGGAAAACTTAAGGGCTACTTCCTTGCCTACTACAAGATTAATGCAAGGGGGAAAGAGTTGAGTTTCACGGATACTCAGCCTACAACGTGCTAAGTCAGGCATGCCATCACCGTGCTGTCTGTGCGGTAGGTATGTGCGGGGAGAAACTCACCTTGCCTTGCTGCTGGAGCTGCACCCAGCCTCCATAGCCGAACCTCTGCAGTGAGGAGAAGCACGGTTAGAACTCACAGTAAAGAAGATGGGCCTGCAGCTAAGGTATATCCTCCAGGCACAGGCTTCCAAACTCTGTCCCATCAAACACCATCTTTCTGCTCAATATTTTCATTAAATAAATTTACCTTTAAACTGATAAATTTACAGAGAAAGAAAATCTTCTGTGCCTGGGCTGGGGATGCAGCCCAGTTGGTAGGATGTTTGCCTAGCAAGTACGAAACCCTGGGTTCCACCCTCAGCACCAAATAAATTGGGCATAGTGGCTCATATCTCTGATACTAGCCCTCGGGAGGTGGAGGTTGGACAATCTAGAGATCAAGGTCATTCCTGCCTATATAGGGAGTTTGAGACCAGATTGGGCTACAGGAGCCACTGTCTCAAAAATCTGTAAGAGAGATAGGGGAAGAGCTGATGTTATTGTCATTTGTGAGTTTTTCCTTGACCTTCTGGCTGAATCTGGCATCCTGTCTCAGTCTCTTGAGTACTTGAGATTAAGTATGTGCTACCTTGCCTGACTTTTAAGTGATATTTTAACTTCTTGGGGACTTCACACCTTCATCACATGCCCAATAGAACTCCTAAAGAAGGGCTTCTCAGAGAAAGCCTGTCTCAGAAAAAAAGAAAGAAAGAAAGACAAAAAGAAAGAAAGGAAGAAAGAAAGAAAGAAAGAAAGAAAAAGAAAAGAAATTCTGACCCTGACCCGACCTCTGTTTGAAATCACCATGGCAAGTAAAAACAAAAGCTCTGTCAAAACTAGTTCTTTATAACTACTAGTTAATCATCATCCCAGATGTGTTGACTCTGCTCCTTTCGTCATTGCACAAGGTAGAGGAGGTTGTGGGGGTATGTCTATTAATATTTAAGAAAAAAGGCAGGTTTAAAAAGAGATAGTATTTCTTCCAAAGATACTTAAGATTTCCAAACAAAGTATCATTGATTTATTCTTTTCATGAGTCTGTTGGAAAGTTTGGAGGAACTGTGAAAAAAGATCAGAAACAGGCATTTTAAAATGTGATCCCTACTAAGAAACAATTGAAGTCAAAGGGCATTCTGCTAGTTAATCCCACTCTAACACCTACTCTAGACGGCTAAGGACATGGGTCAGTAGGTAGAGAACTTGCCTAGCATTCACAAAGACCTGGGTTCCATCCCCAGCACTGCATAAACCAGGTATAGTGGTATACACCTATGGTCCCAGAACTTTGGAGGTGGAGGCAGGAGATCCAGGAATTCAAGGTTATCCTCAGTTATCCTCAGTTATCGCAAGTTCAAGACCAGCCTAGGATATATGAGATACTGTCTCAAAAGACAAAACAAAAAACAAGTCTGACTTGTTCTACTATGATAATATAGACAAGAAAAAAGGGAATAAGAGAAATACTCTAGCCTTTAACTCATTCCCATTCTTCAGGGAATTATGGCCACTGGAGTCTCATTATCCCAACACTGGCTAACCATCACTCCCACGGAAATGTCTACTGTATTAAAGAGCTGGTTGCTTGACCTGTGGATTGTGGTCCCATGATGAAGCTCCCTCTGTGGGTTTATATGAATGGGAGAACTGGGGAAGGAACTTGATGTCAAGGGGGACCCTGAGGAACAGAGAAAGTAGTGATATGTTAGGAGCCAGATCTCTCCATTGGATGGGTTAGATTGTTCTGGGTGGACTCACAGAACTCTGGATTCCTTTCTTCCTTCCTTCCTTCCTTCCTTCCTTCCTTCCTTCCTTCCTTCCTT